CTTAAGGTCTGCCTTTAGTTGTTTTGGTCGACCATGGCATGCATTGCATAGCCCCTTTACATTGTTTAGCTTGTAGGCTTTAAATGTGTGAAGTGTTAAGCATGCATTGTTTGATTTATTTCAGTGGTTTGACACCACTTATAGCATCATTTCAGTCCTCATGACATGCTTGCATGCTTGCCTTTGATGCCTCTTTGATGCCTTATGAGGTTGTGCCTTATGCTCCATGTTTGGTCATTGTGCATGCCCTTGAATTTAAGTCATTTAGATGCCATCTAAGTGGTCTTTAGGCTTTGTTTTAATATGCTAAAACTCCGTTTTTGGTCATTTAATTCATGCCATGTTTGGTTTTGCTAAGGCTAGTTCAATGCCTCCTTAGCTTGCCTTGAGTTTTGGACCTCTAATTGCATGCTTATGCTTGTCTTGTTGGCTTGATTTGGCACCATTTTCACATGATTTTCAGAGCTTATGTTGCATGTCATTAGTCCATGTTTTTGTGCTTACAAGTTGTCTTCATATGCTTAAGTGTTGGACCATATTTGCATGCATGCGTGTGTGTGTGTGTTGGACCTCACTTCCATAGTATTGGCCACTGATTTTGGCAAACTTGCAAGCTACCCATGTTGGTTTAAGCCCACTCCTTTGTATGTTGTTGTATGTCCACCTTGTATGTTGTTGCATATTTGTGTGTTGTTGCATGATTGGGGTTACATGATTGAATGAAGTCACATGCTTGCTTGCATGCTCGAACACCCATATTGTGCCTTGCATACATGTTAGTTGCATTGTCTCATGCCCTATGTCTTGCATGACCATTGTATGCCTTGTATGCTTCTTAGCATTGTCCATGTTGCATACTAGTCGATATGCTTAGGATTGCATTGCATTGGCATGCATGCTTCGCCTCTTCAATTGCTTGTGATAGAGGTTGAGTTCAATTTGCTTGATTATGTGCATTGCATTCCATATCAATATGCACACTTGATTCTTTGGGCCATCATGCATGAAAATGCGTGATTGGTGGCCCAAGAATCGAGGCCCATCCTCCTTTGAGTCATAAATATGATAAGGAATGTGGTTGGTGCATACATTGCTTGAAATGCATTGCCATGCCAAGTTCTGTCTTCTACTGCTGTCAAACCAGTTTTTTGCAGGAAGTTTTGGTCGGCCGGCCATCTTAAGTGCCGACCGGCCATCCATTGTTGGCCGATGGATTATTTTGTGGTCGGTGACCATCATACATGGCCGGTGACTATTCCTCATGGCCGGTGGTGCTCCACAGCACTCAGAGAAGCAACCCTGGGACTTGTGCAGTCTTTAGAGAAGCAGAACAGTCAAAGTAGAGGCAGCTTGTGCATGACAGTGACATCCGAGCGGAATCGAGCACGCATCGAATTAGACCCTCTTCCCGAGGCTATTTATTGCTTAAATTAGATTAATTAATTAGGTGGTCTGTAATATTTAATTAGCTTGTTAGTTAGTTAAATTGTATTATTCTTTCGGTCCCTCCGAGTGAGGGCTAACTTGTAATAAGTGTGGGTGCGTGTGTGCATGTCTTCCAACCCCCACTTCTTTCTCCCTTTTACTTCTCTGCTTTTGATGGTTAGTATTAGGTCGTATTTGATTTAGCATACCTTATGCTATGCATGCGTGCATCCATACATTTGTCTTGCATGCACCGGGCTCGGTGCATCATACTAACTGCATTGTATTTCAATTCCAAGTTGAATACGTGTTAGTTGTAGCATCATCATATGTCATCCATAGATTAGCCGAGCCTATTGTAGCTGCATCTTGCATGTGTTGCATTAGCCATCTTAACATGAACTAGGATCATGCATATGATTACTAACTAGTTTCTATTTTGGCTTGGAGTACTCGGTAAGTTTTATGCTTTAGCATCCTTGCATGCGTGTGAGTGACTGCCATGAATAGCATGCTTACCATGAGGCTATATGCTTATGTGATATAACTGCCTGAATGCTTGTGGGTGAAGGTTGGGTTATTTGGATTGGAACAATTCGTTGACTATGAGTTTTTTTTTTTTTTAAGCCCACTAGATAGTGGCAAAACCATCTTTTCTAAAGCCCACTTGAGGGTGGCAAAACTTGCATTTTAGCCTACTTGCGAGTAGCAAACCATTTTCAAAACAAACATGCAATGTTTTGTTCCAATTTAGGCGATTTGGTCTATACTTGTTTGTTGTGCGCATAACATAGTAAATTTATGCTAATAACCGGAATAAGAACGCATAGTGTTTTCAAAACCCGATATCATGGTTAGTAGAGGCCGATCTTTGATCGGGCGAGCGGGGGTGCTCACGAAGTGACCTTCCCCAATCGTACCCAAGTTCCCGAGCCGAGGCAACTTTGGTGATGACAGACACGTGGCCTTTGGCACCGAGTCAGGGTTTCCTAAATTCCCCCATAAAAAATATTTAGGTGGCGACTCCGTATCTGGCAAAGCAGTCCATGTTTGGCACTTCTTTCAAAATCTGTTTTTCTCAAAACAATTTGCCGGATTTGGACTCTTTGGTTCAGATTTAGAACCGTGACAATTTGAGAGTCCGAACTGTAGTGAACCCAATATGAACAGAACGGGACTCATCCTCCCGGGGCGTTCGGGGACGTCTACACATGGCCGCTCGACGGTTGCTCCAACGTGAGACTGAGGTCCCTGCTCGAGCGCAACCTATGTCGCTCGAGCGGTCTGCAAAATTTCAAAACTTCTGGGAGCTTGCATTTCTCGCTCAAGCAAACTCTTAGTCGCTTGAATGGAAATACAAGATCACAGAGTGGTCGCTCGAGCGCAGATTATTCCGCTCGAGCAGAAGTACAAAATCTAGAATTTTCAGATTGCACTCCCAAGCTCCAAACTCGGATTACACCCTACAAAACTCATCTTTTGGGCCAAATTTTCAGAAAACATTTAGAAACTTATAAAATACCATGGTTTGGAGATCATTTCATGAAATCAATGCCCAAAATTATGTCAGTTGTTCAAAATCCACCTAGAGACTTTAAGAACATAACATGAATACTACACGCATGAAATGGTTTGAGCTTCAAGTGTCCAAAACATAATCAAATGAAATGTTTAGCTCGAAAACATGTTGAATTCTTAAACCATGGCTAAAATATAAACATGCATGGGACAAATTCTTAGACAACATGCTCTATTTGTCATGTGATGCACATGCATGCATGCATGTATCTTCTTCTACATCAATCAACTTAATTCTTGCTTCAATTCACTTAGTTCTTTTGAATACATGTGGTAAATACTCCAATTACACAACTAAAGGCTTGACTTCTTACCTTAGGGGCCCAATTTTAGCTTAGATGTGTTGATGTTTGAGCTCACAACTCAATTCTTTCAATTCCCTTTCAAGTCTCCAAAATTCTTAAGCTTAGGGTCAAATTTTCCTACTCCCTCTCTTACTCTCACGTTTTGCCACCAAGGATGAAGATATGAGAGTGTAAAATGTAAATAAGGGTCCATTAATGCTTTATATAGGCTAAATTAATGGTTTAATTAAATGGTTGATCAAATTACTCAATTAGACATAAATTATTCTAATTAAATCGTTCCGAATCGAATTTCAATTGAACCTTCCATAAAATTCTAAAAATTCTAAAAATTCTAACCAACACATAATTCAAGTCAATTTAACGATCGAAAGTCGTACACATATGCAAATTGCTACGATGGACAGATAGAAACACAAATAATATCGTACACATTCAAATAAATGCATAATTTCATCGTAATTCTTCTTAGGCATAATTAATCATGGATTAAAAGGTAATCACAGGTCGAGGTTATTACAGGGTGCCTGCTGTGCATAGCAGGGTGTGCTGTACATATAAAACGACACAGTTTTAACCTTTTTTTATTTTTTATTTTAAAAGAGGAATGGAGAGAGAGAGAGAGCTGTTGGTTTGAAATAAAATAAAATAAAACCTTACAAATCTTCAAAGGCATTTATTATAGCAAGGAGAAATATATACTGACATATTTTTTATTTTATTGTTAAAAATTCACATGAGTTGAAATTTAATGTATATTTATTGATTATTATATTTTTGATGTTTTTAAAAATTAAACTAGTTATATTTATTTTGACATTGATATTTATTAGAGTATAGCTATTTATATTTTATTATTCATAGATAAATATAAGTCATCTACTATATATTTAGTATTTGGGTCAACTTGTGTTCACCTCGAATATCATGACTTTGAAATTAATTGGGGAGACTCAAATTAGTTAGTTGATTTATCAACAAATCAATAAATAATATGTAATAATACACATCATTGCAAGTAAATTTAACAGTAATATTTTAAGGGTTTTACAATTTTTTTAATTGGTTTTCCTAAATGAGAACAATATTGATGTTATTATAAATGAATTACGAAACCAGATATGATCAAAATTGATTATGAAATTGGAATGCACTAATTAACCAAAATCATTTAACAAAACTTTGTAATTCAAATACAGAAAATAACTTACAATTATACGAGTTGCAGTACAAATGCAATCGTTGTAGTTGTAAGGATCTTAACTAGGTTTACACTGAAAGGGTTGATTTTCACTCAAGGCTCAAGGTTTTTCTTAAAAACGAAGAATGCCTGAATGGATACATTTGATTACAATATATAGAAAAGAAAATTAACTATGCAGCATGTGAATTGGTTGATTGATCGAAGGCAGCTGACAGCATTGAAGACTGAGCATAGCTGTCGGTTGCTTTCGGCTGATTGATTAAACAGTTGAGCAGCTTTAACAAAAGTTGATTGATGAACAGTAAAAGTGAACAGTAACTTTTACTATTCATGCTTTCAGTGGAACATGTGATTAGAGGAATCAATATAAATACAAATTGGCAGCTTTTCTCAAAAGAGTATTGATTGAAGCGAATTTGTATCTATATGGAATCCTATGTTGATTAGGCAAATGGATCCTGAGCATCTAGAAACTCTGGACCCAAAAATTAATTGGTTGATCCTTCAGAAGAATATGAACTTTCTGATCCTTCTTCTGGATGGTCTGAATTGGATGATTGGGCTTCAGCTTGATCCACAAGTTTGCGGGCTAACTGGAGCAATTCATCTCGGGATGACTTGGACTTACTCTTGGATTTGACTTTGGGCTGAGCAGGAGGTGAAATGGGCTTAGCCTTAGACTTAGACTTTGATTTGGGCTTTGCTTGGGCCGGCTGAGCAACAACAGCTTTGGACTTGGATTTATTAGTGGGTTTTGCTGTTTTAACTTTTGATTGGGGCTTGGAACCACTAGATGAGGGCCTTCCAAGATTGACTGGGGGAAGGCTTGGGCTTCCATGACTAATTACAGCAGTTGGGTTCAACTGGGCTTTAACCATAGCAGGAGTTGGAGCACATTGATTAGATGGGAACTCAGTTTGGACAATTTCAACAATGCGAGGCACTGTGAACTTATCCCACCATTTAACAGAATGTTGTCGGATAATTATATTATCAACAATACCATAATGCCATTTGAATATCCAAGGGATTTTATACTTAGATATAAAAATTAGCAATAATGGAAAGGTCCTTTGATGAGGGGTGAATGGGAAAACAGTAGCAAAATAGTTGATTTGTTCAATCAGAATATCAGGGAAGATATCTGAAATGGCACCATAATGAGACCCCCCATCTCAGAAACCAAGAAGGTAATTCTGATTTGAATTTTTGATCAAATTGAATGAACCAGGAGTGACTGAAGGTTTCTGTAGACGTCCCCGAACGTCCCGGGAGAAAATACCCCCCCGTTTGTTCATTTGGGCTCACTACAGTTCAGGACTCAAAGTCATGGTCCTGTATCTAATCTCGTACAGTGCAATGCAAGACCGATGAAATCATCAAAGAGTCCAAATCCGGCAAATCGTTTTTGAAAATAGATTTTTTGAAAGAAGTGCCAAACATGGACTACTTTGCCAGATACAGAGTCGCCACCTAAATATTTATTTTGGGGGAATTTAGGAAACCCTGACTCGTTGCCTAAGGCCACGTGTCCGTCATCACCAAAGTTGCCTCGGCTCCCGCAACTTGGGGCTCACCGAAACCAAGCCCCGAAGAACTTAACCGACCCGAAATAGATTTAAATCATGTAAAAATAATAGCTAAAACATGCTAAAGTCAAGCTAACTCAAGCTAGAATAATGGGCTAACTCATTAGGCATGCTAGGCTAGTAAGCATAATTGCACTACAAGTACAAAAAGCAAGCAACTAATGCTCCAACCAACCTCTTTACTATACAAAATGCCTAATGCAACACATGCAAAATGC